AGAGGAATTCTCTCCGTTTCTTTCTTTTTAAATGGCTGTGAGACATGACAGCCACTGAAAGTGAAGACGCGGAAAAAAGACAAGGTGTCTTTGATTGCAGATGTTTTTGTACCATCTTCCATGTTCAGCGATGCACTGTGGTGAGTTGAGTAATGTTGAGGTTAGACTTGGAGTGTTAATGTAATGGTATAAGACAAAAAACTCCCTATATCTCTATAATGAGAAGTCGTGACCAGTGAGGTGCATCCAGATGTCACGTGGGAGGATGAATGTCCCACCTACGACAATGGTTGGCGTCGCGCTAAATCACTAATTGGTAGAAGTTAGAATTCATGAGCCATTGAATGGGGTCCCAGTGGCTGAATGGTATACGAACTAGCTTGCCTTGTAACCAGAAGGTCCTGGGTTCGAACCCCAGTCGGTGAGTACTGCTGGTGATTTCCGAACTAGGATGAAACAGCAGCTGTCCAGTACTCTCTGTGGCTGGTATCAATCTGTGATCAACTCGTAAAAACAATGGTTATAAATAATGTTAAATAGCACACTTAAATGTTTGAATTCTTAGTAGAGAGAGAGAGAGAGAGAGAGAAGAAATTATAAATGAACCCATCCGAAATATAATAGCACTACAATTTTGATTTAAGTTGCCATTAAATTGAGATACTCCCCTCCCTTCATGTACCACACAAAGAGTAAGGAGAGATTCAATAGAATGATAATAAACAGAACTATGCGGTAAAAGAATAGTCGTGATAAGGAAGAACAATAGAGTACTTTGATTGGATATATGACTGTCATATCACAAAGAGTGAGTGAATGCATCTGCGCTAGCATCTACATTGACAACGATTTTGAGCCATATCACCGATAGTTGTCTCCAGTCGTCATTGGTTCTTACCATCCTGTGAGGACTCCAACCAGTCACTTAGTCAGTCAGGAAATCTACAGCTTCCTACTCGGCTGGCTTGCTTAAACTGAATATTATAGATTTCCTAGCCTGATGAAACCATGTTTAGTTTTTGACTACTCTGTGCTAGCTCTTTTCTCAAACCTGATCCATCCTCTGTCAGCTAACATTTCCCATAGTCGAGTAAGGCAATTGATGGCTAGGGATGCGCGTGCAACGCATATCCTAACCATCTCAATCGAGTTAGCTTCACATTCTCATCGATTGATTTCTCCTCCCACCTACCTAGCACTCGACCCATGCATAACCTCAATATCGCTCACCATATTATACCATTTCACATAGGAGATAAAACGCAGGCACCTATAATCAAAGACAGCTAGCTAGCCTATCTTTTCATACCTTCCACTCTCAATGGCCATGTCTCACTCACAACCACATAAAGAAGGACAGAGCGAACGCCTGAGCAGTACACACGCTCGACAGCCAGATATCACGTCTCCTAAGCTAGAGATGGCCTGTACCAAACGAGCCTTCTGTATCCGTGTTGAAATTTCGTCAGCGATCAAGCCGCTGTGACTGTCTGATTCAAATTCCCAAATAATTGAAGCAGTTGTAAACACGCTTCACCAACCACTTCACACCTGTTTGCTTTTAAGCTAGGACTGAGTAGATATAATCCGGTAGGTAGTCCTCTAGCGTTGGTGGCACAGCGGTTATGACGCTCGCCGATCATGCACATGGCCCGAAGTTCGATCCCCCACCGACGCACACCTGGTATCTATGGTCGGTCTGCAAAATTTGGGCTACCGATATCACATGCTGAAAATTCCATACCTGTACCCAAAATACGGTGTGGAATCAAGCTGTAATAAAAAAATAATAGACTCACCATCTTACATTTGACAGTAAAATAAATAATAATAATAATTTTTGCTTTATTCCAAAAACAGTACTAATGATACAGCAAGGAATTTTCAGCATTCAGTACAATATTGCATCTATTTACTCAAAAACGACAAAAAAAATTAAAAATACACATTACATAATAGTAATAAAACGATTGTTATAGCAGCTACGTAGCAAAATACTGTATGCCATACGGAGAAAATATGCATAAAGTACAAAATTGTGGTAATAATAGTAATACCAACTAAAATAAAATAGCAGAGTAACAATTAAACGATAGAAAGTGTGACACCATAAAATACAGAAAGATGAACGAACGATGAAAGGGTCGATTCACTTTGCTAATTACATAGTAACTTGTAAGTTTCACGTCTAACAGAGTCTTCGTCACATAAAGTACGGGCTAAATAGGGTATTGTAGAATTTCTATACTTAGTGGTACGAGCATATAACTTTTTATATTGACTTCTCGTCCTACCTGATGAGATACAAGGGGACAGGTGTGAATAAAGGGGGTGCAGAGGGTCTGACAGTATAGCCTTTGCCCATTTCGTACAGGAATTTATATGCCTCTCGACTATAGTCTTGGCGAGCTCATGCAGTGGCGGACCACAAGCTCCACTCACAGCATTTAATACTCTTCGTAATATGATATAATCTTTTTTGAGAAGCCCAGGAAAGATTAATGGAGAGCAATAGAGGCCAATTTTTTATGCAACCCCATATATGTTCATAAATACCTCTCATATTATGATATCAGATTTACACTGTCTATCAATTCACCTGGTTACTCTTATACAATTTATATCATTACTATCCGGGGGTGGGGGGAGGCTACATTACACATAGCAATTAAACAGTTTTTTCTTTATTTTCTTTGCACTTATTTTAAGCTAAATAACCGAGTGTTATTGTGTGAATAATAACTACCAGAGGCATCCATGATGCATATTTCGCCTTTTATTTTAAGGTAGACATCGCCTTCCTCAACCAACGGGCAATGTTAGCTGACATAGGTTCAGGTTGGAAAAGAGCTAGCACGTGGCAGTCAGACCAAACCATGTCGTCATCAGTCAATGAAATCCACAACAGTTAGTTTAAGCTAGTCACGTAGGAAGGTGTAGACTTCCTGGTTGCGGTCCTCGGGACGGTAAAATCCAATGGTTGGAAACAATTGGTGATATGGTTCAAAATCCTCGTTCTCAATGGCTGGTGGAGATGCATTCACTCCTTGTGACTTATGATTTCCAATGAAACTATATTGTTCTTCGTTATTACTATTCCTTTGTCTCACACCTCTGTTTACTGTCTGTATTATGCATTTGTTCTACTGTCTTCTTTCACTTTGTGTGATAAATTGATGGAGTGCGGCGGGCGACTTGAACTGTCGCACATCGGTGGAAAGTTCTATGTCGAAAACAGACAGACAGACTTTTATTTTAAGGACTCGTCACTTTAATGCTGCACCTATGATTCTCCGTATGTGATCATGTCCCGCCAAAGAGTTATTCATAAGCAGGCCGCTTAGGCCTTTCAGATCTCCCATTTCCAAGTGAAAATCTTTTGTGGTTTTTGCTGTAGGAAGCGTATAAGTGTGTGTGTGTGTTAAGCTTACAATATTCGGTATACTGGTTGTCATAAATATCAATCGAGAAAGCAAGCATAATCACATGACGGTATACCATACTCGTTGATTGATTCATACCAGTAGTCGGTTGGATAGCTAACCAAGCCGGGACAATCCTATCACTTGTTGGCGGCAGCAATCGAGTTCATCAGTTCTTAACTGAGTCGTCATCTGGCCAACAATCACTAATGTTTAACATGAGTTGTGAAGCTACGTAGATTAAGATGGTTAGGAGTTGTGTGGTGTTATGCATACCTGACATGTCATCGCCTTCCTCGACAACGGGTGATGTTAGCTGACTAAGATGAATCAAGCTGGAACAGAGCTAGCACATAGTAAGTGGTCAAATCAAAACTCCAAGGTGGCTTCATCAATCAGTGAAATCTCCAACAGTTAGTTTGAGCCACGTTGGGAGGTTATCATACGCAATTAACAATAATGAAATAAAATAAAATTCATGAAAATTACTCAGTTAAATAAAAAACAAAAGTACATACTAATGACCAATCATATTTAAATAAGTCTAGTAGTCATCCATGGGAGGCGAAGATTGAAGTCTATTGTTGTGACTGTGCATACAGTTTAGGCTGTATATGATCAATCCCCCAAAGTGCTTCCATCACCTTCAGTAACCAACCCTGAATTATAGTTATTTGATGAAATAATTGTGAAAGTCATTAATTAATATTGATTTTGTAACCTGACATTAATAAGTGTTTTACAATGGATGATGATGACGAATTTCTATTCAGATTAATAATTGCCTTGGGATTTTGTATATGAATTAGTAACCATTTTGGAACATGTTCTTTTCGACAACCACATTGGAATATTCTATTGGTTCTACCTATATAGGTGTCACCGTAACAACTGCAGGTGAACTTGTAGATACAGTTTGAAGTAGAGTCCACAGAATTTCGTCCTTTTACCGTAGGTAGATACTCAGATTGAAAATGTTCGGCATGTGAGAAAAAGAGATGCGGAGGCGTAGAATATGCGTTTGATGGCTGATCGAACTGTCTTTGAGCTAGCTGTCTCTGAACTGCATAATCTGGTCACCCTTGAATAATGGTAGGTTAATAAGGATAGATAGCTTTGTTTGGTACAGAAGTTGTTTTTTTCGAAATGCGGTCTTTCGTTACTCTGACAAGTGATCAAGTTTTCTGGATAACCACTAGCTAATCAAAACTGAATGTTTATGCCTTATAGCAAATTTATCAAAGGGACTAATTTCTGTTTATTATCTGTCCCTACTCTCTTCTCTTCCTTTGTGTGCTATATGGATGGAGGGAGGGAGAGAGTGTGGCAACTCGAACTGCTGCACATCTGTGCAAATTTCTTTTTTAAACCACTCAACTTAGCATTAATGCTTTTTAACTACTGATATTGGTAATCAGTAGTATACAACATGTTGATGAAAATTATTTTTGCAAGTCGCGGTTGATTATTTCTCAGTTTTTGCATTGTATACCATGATTGATGATAAACTATTTTTCTTCCAACTGCTTCATTTTTGACTTCTTTTCTTTTGTAGCACTAGATTGATTTCTTCTGAAGATGTCAAAGAAAAAAGCTTCAAAAATACCTCGTAAAAAAGAAAACATCCGCGACAGAAAAACTCCACAGAAGACGAGTTCAGCTAAAGTTGTTTCAAGCGAAGAAGTTACTGTTGTCAGTGAATTTGTCCGTGATTTTGTTCGACGTCATGTGATAACAAGTCGACGTTATCAGTCGGATTTATTTTGGCGTCCAGGATCTAACAATAGTTATAATATTAATCTTTTGCCTCAACCTACAGAAATTGTTAAACGTAGAAAATGGGATAAATTTGCAAACGATGATTGTCATTGGAGTACAGTGAAGCGTCCAGTTGTCAAAGGGGAGGTGAAGAAGAAGAGGAAATCTCTACTGAAGTCTATTATGAAGGCACCGTCGAGTGTATCCTCTGATTTACCTTTAAAATTGCATGAGTTATGGAAAGGGTATTTTGGAAGTGTTATCAACGCGTCACAACTAACTACTGGGATGAATAATAATTCACATGCAAGTGTTGTTAATAATTTGGAGACAATTCTGCGTCTTAATCTTATCGGAGCAAAGCTTAGAGTTTTACGCTCGAAATCATGTCGGGTAGGTATAATACCTTTTTTTTATTTCATCATGAAGTGTTGTCGGTCGGAGGATCATTGGGTAGACAAGCTGAGAGCACTGGACAGCTGTTTCGCTAGCCTACCCCACTGGGGTTCGAACTGATGACCCTCTGGTTACAATGCTAGCTAGCTAGGTAGCTAGCTTGTAGACTACTAAACCGCTGAAACCCGATCCACAAGGTCAGCTCATGAATTCAATTTTCTGCTAATTCACGATATGATGGGACTACTAGAGAGCGAATATCATCGCTGATGAGTCTTTGTCCTCACACCTGACCTGCTATACTCCACTTCTTCAGAAGCTGGAATTCATGGCTCTGCCATGAAGGCTACCAAACTAGGCTGATGAAACACCTGTCTGTTCCGTACTCCAGTGCTAGTTTTCATTGGTTCTCTAACTGATGTCAGATAATGATGAAATCCTGTAAGCAATCAAATCAATTCCCTGCAAACGAACACTTTTTTTTAAAGAAACTTCATGCATTTATTCTCCTCGAGGAATTTGAAAAAAGCAAGAACAATGGTGGTTTATGCAGAATCTCTACTCTCTAACTGACCCTACGATTCGCCATATTCTCTCATCTCCTCCATGTCACTCTCAGACGACCTACTCGTCGCTGTCCCTCTGGGATTCCACTCGAGCGATGGCTTGACATGAGTTTCTTCGAGGTTGCAGATACGCCTGCTTTGCTGACTAAATGACTGACTGAGTGAGTGACTAGTGAGTGCCAACTAACAGGAAACCTACTGCTGCAAACTAGGCTTCCTGTGGCCGACTGCCTCTAACCATCTAATACCAACAATTTTAAATTGCACCTAATGGTATGTTGGCCACATTGCAAGCTTGACTGATAGAATTCAGTCTGCAGGAAAGATAGGACTAGACTTATTACAGCAGTAACTGAATAGTGTCTATTAGAAAAATGCGAGTAATGTTTTCTCTCTTTTCACGGAGTGGAGTTAAGAGTTGCTAACCTCATAACTAACCTCACATCTTTATTTTCAGATTTACTGTTATTGAAATGAAAATTTGGTGCATTATGTACACCAGAAGATGTAACTCACAAAATCTCATGGTTTATGTAAGAGCTGGGGTACTACCCAGATGCTCAGACAGAGTTGGCTGGTCGCCTCCTTGTGGAACCACAACGAACACCCATCCAACCATACACGCCCACAGTCTTTGACTTGAAATCTGATACACAAGTCGATGCAGCAGTGCCAAGAGCTGCTTTTCCGTGGTTTATAGTGTATAAATCAGTTTCATATTCCATTTAGTCCAGTCAGATTCTGCAGCCCATTTTACACAAATCACAGATTTGGAACCAAGGTTTCCCAACTCCCCTAAGTGCACCTGCATGTCCACACCAGTTCGCGTTTCCAAGCATCAAGTATTCATATTCGCCCATTCACCCTTTTATGAAGAATGCCCTGTGGCCGCATGAAGGCAGTGGATAGGATATGCTGCTGCCCAGAGGCGTGGCTAAATTTAAAGCATTTCGAAAGGAGGAGAGGAATCTGTCCACCTTTGACTGTACCAGGTGGTCACCTATTATAAGTTAGCTTTACAGGTACATCAGCGGCCGAGAATTGAATCCAGACTACCTGCATGGCTAGCGAATACTCTAACACTGCACTACAGATGCTTATTTGTTTACTGATTAATAATATTACTCATTATATGTGTAAAACTTTGGCACTGTGGTAGTAAGTAATTCCATATTAGTTTGTTTATTAGATGTTTCACACGGTGAAATTGTATTATTATTTACTGGATGACGTTTCGAACACAATCTATTGTTCGTAGTCATATCTGCGTCGGTGTCACAGTGGTTCGGACTCTCGCCGACCATGCACATGGTCCGAGGTTCGATCCCCCACCGACGCACACCTGATATCTATGGTTGGCCTGCAAAATTTGGGCTACAGATATCACATGCTGAAAATTCCATACTTCTACAAAAAGGTACTGTGTGAAATCAAGCTGAATCGAACAGATTTTTTAAGAATATCATCAATTATAATCCTACGACTTTGAAACTTAAGTTTAATCGTTTTCTTTGTCTTCTCCTATTCGTCGTAGGGGGGATAGCATCTTCTAGATAGCTGGGTGGATAGGTGTTGAATCATTCCTATTACACGTTTTCTCAGTTAGTTGATTCGATAAACAAAGCTTCTGTTATCAATCTCTCCCTCCACCCTGTGACATTAGATTTTCAAACTGTCATCCTATCCCATCCTATGCTCTATGGTTGTGTGTAACTGCATGTAGTGCAGTGCTTTGGCTGAACTATTCTCTAGATTTCTTATATTATTCGAGTCAACGAATCTAGATTTTGCTAGGTTTTTATGTTCGGATAGTATGACTGGCCCTGTTCTACTAGTTTGACCTATGTATTTGACCTGACAATCACTGCATGCAGGGTATTAGATAAACTAAATTGTTTTGATTTAAACGCTCCACAGGATCCTTTAACCGACAAACCCACAAACTCAATTGGAAACAAGCTTTGTCTGTTAAAGGATCCTGTGGAGCCTTTAAAACAAAACAATTCAGTTTATGTAATACTCTGCCTACAATGATTATCAGGTCAAATACATACGTCAAACTAGTAGAACAGGGGCAGTCAGACTAGCTGAACATAAAAACCCAGCAACAAAATCCAGATTGGTTGACCCAAATAAGATAAGAAATCTAGAGAATAGTTCAGCCATAGCACTACACTACATGCAGTTACACACAACCATAGAGCATAGGATGGGATAGGATGACAGTTTTAAAGTTTAATGTCACAGAGTGGAGCGAGAGATTGATAACAGAAGCTTTGTTTATCGAATCAACTGACTGAGAAAACGTGTAATAGGAATGATTCAACACCTATCCATCCAGCTATCTAGAAGATGCTATCCCCCCTACGACGAATAGGAGAAGACAAAGAAAACGATTAAACTTAAGTTGCAAATTCGTGTGGTTATGATTGATGAAATGATTATGAACATCAATAAATTGTGTTCGAAACTGTGTCATCCAGTAAATAATACAACTTCATTGTGTGATATATCTAATAAACAAACTAATATAAAATATTACTCATTATTTCTATTTTTATTTTACTGCTTTTCATCTTTTTTTCAGGCTGGTGTAGAAGGCATTGTTGTCATGGAGACAAAGAATACATTTTCACTGGCTTCTTTAACATCATCAAAAGAATTATCATCGTCTTCTTCTTCTGCTGCTGCCGCTACTGTACCTCTGATTATTGTTCCAAAGATTGGTTCATTATTTCATCTTATAGTGTCTAAGGCCGGCGACTGTCGAAATGCTGAAATTCTACTTAACGGAGATTGTCTAGCGCATCGTACAGTTGATCGAGCTGTCAGAAAATGGAGATATACGCCAACAACAGCTTATGAATATCATCAAAATGCACTGACAACAGAAGTACTCTTTTCAGATGTACTTATTGATGGCAAAATAAATAGTTAAATTCTGGAGATTTTTCACTCATGTATTATATATGTATATACATATACATTACAATAGAATTTATATGATAATCGATTCTTTTAGTAATATATGTGTAAAACTTGGGCACTGTGGTAGTAAATAATTCCATATTAGTTTCAGGATTTCATCATGAGCTGACATTAGTTAGAGAACCATTGGAGGAAAACCTCGGAGTACTGGACAGCTGTTTTTTCCTAGTTTGGGACTCTTCAGCAGTACGCACCCACATCGCGGGGTTCGAATACAGGACCTTCTGGTTACACGGTTAGCGACCTCGTATACCATTAAGCCACTGGGACCCGATCTAATCGCCAGTCCATGAATTCTAACTCCTTCTAATTCACGACATAGCGCGACCCCTAGCCAATGTCTTCCGTGGAGAGTATTTGTCCTCACACCCGACCTGCTCCACCCTACTGGTCACGACTTCTCACTAATCAAATCACTACGAACCAACGCTTGAATATCCTTATTAGTTTGTTTATTAGATGTATCACACAGTCACTGAAACAGTATTACTATTTACTGGATGACACAGTTTCCAACAAAATGTATTGCTGTTCATAATAGTATCATCAATTGTAATCACACGAATTTGAAACTTAAGTTTAATAAAAATTAACACACAAACACACGCACGCAAATAAATTTCACAGGCATAGATACCAAAAGAAACAAGCAAAATGAAATGCTCTTTGCCACAAGTAATCAAGATTCACAGATAATTACCAGTGTTTATACAAGTGATTGCGCAAATTTAGCCTGTGAAAATACCATAGAAACGCACCCACCCACACACACACATGCACACACAGACAAGCACAAAATACAAATATTTCCACAGAGAGGTAAATGGCTACTGCAAGTCGCCACGCACACACACACACACACGTAGACATAAGCAAACAAACACGTTGTCTGTCTGTTTTCGACATAGAACTTTGCACAAATGTGCGGAAGTTCAAGTCGCCACATTCCGTGTAGCACGCGAAGCAAGAGAAGAAAGTACAAGAAAAGCATAATAGAAACAGTGAGCAGAGGTGTGAGACAAAGGAGTAATAAAGAAATACAAAACAGTTTCATTGAAGATCATAAGTCACAGGGAGTGGATGCATCTGCGCCACTGAGAACGATTTTGAGCCATGTCACCAATTGTTTCCAACCATAGATTTTTACCGTCCCGAGGACCCCAGCCTGGAAGTCTACACCTTCCTACGTGGCTTAGACCAACTGTTGTGGATTTCATTGACTGATGCCAAGTTTTTGTTTGACCGCCGCTAGCTTTTTTCCAGCCTGACCCTATATCCGCTAACATTGCTCGTCGAGGGAGGCGATGACTTGGCATACGTAACACATGTCCTAACCATCTCAGTCTTTGTAGCTTCACGACTTCGTCGATTGATTTCCCCTGTTTACCTAGAACTCTACGCCTAACCTCCATGTTGCTCACCTTATTATGCCACTTTACACGGGAAATAGAACGCAGGCACCTATGATCAAAGACAGCTAGTCTTTTCATGTCTTCCACTCTCAGTGGCCAGGTCTCACAACCATAAAGGAGGACGGAGCGGACTGATGAGCAGTACACCCGCCCTTTGGTCGATAGTCGAACATCTCGTCTACGCCAGAGTCGGCGTAAACTAACAAATGCGAAACGAGCCCCTTGTATTCGTGCTGAGATTTCGTCAGAGATCAGCCCGTTGGGGCTGATGGTACTTCCCAAATAAGTGAAGCGGTCAACGTGCTCTACCACTTCACTTCCTATTTTTAAACTAGGCGTCGATGTAGTCCAGTCCTGTAACATCATCTTGCATTTGGCGGGAGCGAATCGCATGCCAAACATTCGTAGATTGCGGCTCAAGGTGTTTAGAAGACTCTGCATTTCGTCAGCGTCTTCGCCTAGAAGGACTATATCGTCTGCATATTCCAAGTCAACGAGATTATTCCCCGGTAGCAAGTCAATCCCTGAGTCGCTGAAGTCACCTAGGGTTAAGTCCATTAACACATCTATGATGAAGTTGAATAGAAAAGGAGATAATGGGCATCCTTGACGGACACCACTGGTCGTCATCAGTTCAGATGACAGCTCGCCGTAAGCCCTCACCTGGCTGTATGAGTACGAGTAGAGTGCCTTAATCAGTGCAATATATTTTCTTGGAATTCCCTTTACAGCCAAGCATCTCCAGAGAACTTCCCGATCGACAGAGTCGAATGCTGCCTTTAGGTCAAGAAATATAATGACTGTTGGACGCCGGTAGGAATGCCTATGTTCTAGAATCTGTCGGAGGGTGAAGATATGATCAATACACCCTCTTCCTGGTCTAAAGCCTGCCTGGCTCTCTCGTGTTTGTGCTTCCCGAGCACCACTCAGTCTACGCATGATTATTGAGCCTAAGACTTTAGATACTATATTAGTCAAGCTAATCCCTCTGTGATTATCACAGGAAGACTTGTCTCCCTTCTTGTATATGGGGATAATCAGTGACTTACACCAACCCGATGGGACTTCTTCTGATTCCCAGACGCTGCCTAGTACCTCAGTTAATCCGGACAGTAAGCTGTCTCCACCGTACTTAAATACCTCTGGAGTCATTCCATCAGGTCCCGCTGCTTTGCCTAGTTTCAGATTGGTGACAGCTTTAGTAACCTCAGTTAGTGACGGAGGACCTGTGTCTATATCCCATTCAGGGAGGTGTTGGATGCTCGGAAGGTTGAGCGTGGCTGTGGGCAAATTAAACTGCTCCTCATAATGCTCTTTCCAACGATCCAGTCGTCTATCCTGGAGCTAATTATAGTGCCATTTTTTTCCGAGATTGTCTCACTGATGATTTGTCTTCTCCCACCCGTTTCCCTGATGAGTCCAAAGAGTTGCCTGGTGTTGCCTATCCTCAAAGCTTTCTCCATCTCTTTGGCTTTTGTCGCCCACCACTGTTCACGGTCCTTGCGGAGACTTTTCGTAAGTTTCCTCTTGTGCAGCTTTCGCTCCTCATTGAATTCGGAGCTCGCCGGAATAAGTCTTCTAGCATCTATCAGTTCGGATGAGGCGGTGGAGATCCAGTGGTTTTTACTCACCTTTGGGTTTACCTTATTCACAGCTTTTACAGCTGTATCTATGGCTGCCTGGATATTTTTCCAAGCTTCTTCAGGGTGAGCACAGCTGTCGAACACAGATATGTGTTTAGCTAGTTCTTCCTGAAATACGGATTTAGTTTCCTGATCGAGCTGGGGACGTGATGGTTTTACCGCCAGCTGTTTCCTACGTCCGTTCAGTCGTAAGCACACCCGAGCGCGGACCAGTGCATGGTCGGTATCTACGCACGTGTTCCAGAAGGAGCGACAATCTCCTACCGACCCACGCCAACGATAGCTTATTGCTATGTGGTCTATTTGTGTCCAGCGTTGGTTTGATGAAGGGGGTCTCCAAGTCAAACAGTGTCTCTCCTTGTGTTTGAAGTTAGTGCTTACAAGAAACAAATGATTATCAGAGCAGAACTGTAGGAGACGGTCACCGTTGTCGGTTCGCTGGCACGGAACTCCATAGGTGCCACCGACATCCTTCTCAGATTGACACAATTTCCCTACTTGAGCGTTAAAGTCACCAGCTAGAACGACTATGTCTGAGCGTTTAGCCTTTCCACCAAACTAGACAGCTTTTGGTAGAACTCATCCTTCGTTTCATCTGAACTGCAGTCAGTGGGGGCGTAGGCGGAGATTACGAAAAGGCATCGGCGAGTAGTGCAGTCCTTTCCTTCTTACTGATCCGTTCAGGCGGACAGCACACATTCGGCTATCTACCGGGATCCAGTCAAGCAATGTCTTTTCTGCCCTAGTACTCAAAGCTATCCCTACGCCAGCTAATCCTCGTGAACTAGCTGTGGCATCTCCTGACACCCTCAGGTGAATTTTGCAGATTCAACCTGTTGGCCAGGTGGGGTTAGGTGAATAACCACACTTGGGTCTTGTATGCGTGTTTCTGAAACACAGCATACATCAATGGCTCGTGATGCCAGGGTCTTGGCTAGTGATGCTTGTTGTCCTATTTGGCAAAGTGTCCTAACATTAAGAGCTCCTATATGAAATTGGTGGCGCGGCTTTAAGAGGCTGTCGGTGGTGGTTTTTTGGCTTCCATCGTTTTTAGTGGACTCAGAGTGTGTACTCATTCATGTAGCACACGATTGTATCATGACAAATCAATAAATATATGTATTAACATATATGCGTTAGTTACTTAAACATTCCATTACATAAATCTATATACACCAAAACTAAGAATTTGTCATGGATATCAATGTTTGAACACATGCATACCTGCTGTTCAGAAAATTAGAAACGAAACAAACAAACTGTGTTCTATGGTATTGCATAGGATTGTGTACACACGCACACACGCCGTATAATCATCATATGAAAAGGCTTGATTAGTAAGTGTTAAAAAAAACAACCAAAGTTGTATTTCTTTAACTGAAATATGACAAGAAGTATCATTGTTATACTTGTGTATATGTGCCAGGTGACGATTCTATCGATTGCTTTCTCTCATCTCATGTGATCTCATTCAGTTGGAAAACACAATTATTGGAGGAAGCCATCATCAACATCATCGCCACCAGTATCGAATTGAACGTGCGTCGGTGGCACAGTGGTTAGGACTCTCGCCGACTATGTACATGGTCCGAGGTTCGATCCCCTGCCGACGCACACCCGATATCTATGGTCGACCTGCAAAATTTGGGCTACCGATATCCATGCTGAGAATTCCATACCTGTACTCAAAATACAGTGTGGAATCAAGCTGTAATCAAAAATAAATATTAGTGAGCCAGCCATCTGGCGGTTTAATGTTACAATGCCTAAAAATGATCCTACGGTTCGTTATAAGATGGCTGAAGACAGTTGGCGGGAAGCCCTGACCCTCACCTAACCTAGGATTTGTACTTGTCGTTGTCGTATCTGAAATCTTGAAGGAACACTCATGTCCC